TGACCTAAACCAAAATATAATATTATTTTCAAAAGCTTTTTTTGTCTGATGCTTCGATTAATTTTAAACAGACAGTTCAACAAAAGGATACCCAAAAAATGTCATTTTATCATTTAAATATTGAATTGTTCTCTCTTAGTAAGATCCCATTTTCAATAAAATGGCGGTCTTACCTTGACTTGAAGATGAAGTCCATTTGCCTATCCTTCTGGACAAACATTTCTATTACTTTTTTGTAAAAGTCCTCCTTATGTTCTTGTAGTTTCAAAAGTCTATCATAAATGTAATCCATAGATTTATGATAAAAAAATTATATAAGTAGGGTAGACATGTGGATGTTATCCGGCTAATCAAAACGTGCATTTATCTAACAGGTACGTTTCCCACAGATCTTATTTCGAGCTATTTTCTAAAATCCTCTGGAGAAATCTCATTGCTTTTTTGTGCTTACTTCCTGGTTTTAGGACGTGTCACTGCAGCTCTCTCGTCTCCTCTTCACACAGCACACTTTTCGCGGCACACGTACTTACAGCCAATCAGCTCTGAATGATTTGAGATGACGTATGGTGGGGATGGTAGCTCCATGCCCCTCTGGTCATTATTTTTTTGCCACACACATTTCATTACAAAATACTCTGAGCATGCGCAGTGAAGTTTTTACAGTCACCGTTGACTTCACAGCGAGAGGAAGGGGCATAATCAGGTTTTGTCCCACATGGCTCTAAACAGCTCAATAGGCACACACTGTGACTGTAGACACACTAATTAGAAGAACACAGACTAAAACAGCAATGTACAGACGAATCAGATGATTAAACATGATCTTAAAATATATTTTATATATTTTTTTATTTATTTTTTTGCATTTTTGTAATCATTATTTGTAATACTTTCTGCTGACACTAGGTGGGGCTGTGCCCCACCTGCCCCTAATGACCAGTCGCCACTGGTTATTTGGATCCCGTGACTGTGAGATGACAGAACCGCATTTTTTCCCTTTCCTGTGCCATCCTGCGATGTTATGGTAAGTTTCTTAAATATTAACATATATTAAACACAAACGGTCCCTGAAATACAAAAGTTGATGTGTATTTTTGATTTCCCTGCTACCAACTGTATACTTTGATGATAGATTTGAAAAGCGGTGCAGCCTAGCTAACAGCTAGCTAACAGCTAGCTTAATGGTCACTTTTTAATTATGTTCCCTTGCACTTAAAAGTGTTAGAATATGTCACAAAAGAGGTGAAATTTCAAGCTTTGTCTGTAGAAGTCTCAATCGTTATGTATTTAATGATTTTAGCTTGATGTGGTTATAATAGTAATGTTAGCTCTTACCAAAAGTAAGTGGACACGTTTTTTCCCTCCTTTTTTAAAAATGTGTTTTAAATGTGCTTGATTTAAAGATTTGAGAGCCTGGTTTCAAACATCTCCAGTGCCAAAAAGGTCATAGTCGGTTAAGGTCTTCTAAGTCTATTACAAATAACTTCATCAAGTGTAACGCCCTGAGGGAGGTTTTTTTGTTCAATTGTAAAGCTTATTTGGAAGGAAATAAAAATCCCATCTGTGCACTGTACTGTTGCGTCAGCCGGAGCCGTGCCTGGTCGTTACGTTAATTATGTCGGCCAGGAATATCAAAGTGTGAATTATTTAAAGCATGTACAGGAACACACTCAACAAGCACATCTTCGATTAAGACAGCTCTTAAATAGACACGTAATTCACCCGAAAACGTGTTTCTTTATAATAATTAGAGAGAGAGAGCAAGATTAAATAGTGGCAGGTACTTCAGCCGCAGATGCCACTATTTGCTGAGACAACTGCGGCTGCTGATGGGGTGTTACTCTGGGTGCCGAGCCAAGCGAATATGTGTGGCAGTTGCCACTTACCTGCCGTGGCAACTGCTTGTGTTTAAACAGTTATTTATCGTGGAAAAGTATTTCCATTTTCTGCTACTCTGTACTTCTACTCAATTACATTTCAGTGGGAAATATTGTACTTTTACTACACTACATTTATTTGACACTTGTAGTTACCTTTTTAGATAATGTTTATATTCATATACATGTACTACTAATTTACTCAGTTCTTTCCAAAATATGCTCTATATTAACAAATCACAACATTAAAAAATCTTGTATATATGTAGATTTTTTATTATAAGAATATTCATTTTTATTCTATAATGATGCAACCCTTTTACAAAAGGCTTTCTGCACAAAGTACTTTTTCTTTTGATACTTTATTATATTTGGCTAATAACACTTTGGAACTTTACCTTAAGTATTATTTTGAACTTGGGACTATAGCAAGTAATGGAGTATTTATACTTTTACTTTTTCCACCACTGCTTAAGATCCAGTAATGGGTTGCTATATCCTGCACCTCACACCCTGAATTATGTTAATGGCTGCAATAATAGTTGTTATTTACAATACATTTTGATCATTAACACATTTCTCTTTTTCTCTAGGTTTTGAATGTGGAGATGCAAACAGTGTACTGAGACTCAATCTACAAGGTACCAATTACTGAAGCACTATAAATTAAAACACGGCCATTTTGGTCAGAGACACCCATATCCATGCACATACTATGAATGCCCATGCTCTTTCAAAACATGGAATGCTCTTAAAACACATTTAAGTAGATGTCATGTTGATTTTTTAAATATTTTAATAGATGCACATGTATAAGAAAAGAACCTCAGCTGAAATTCTTTGTTTGGTTTACACCAGTAGATGTCCTGTCCTTTCTGCTATGACATTTGATGGATATTATTATAGATGCAACAGCTTTAAACAAAACATTTTAACCTGTATCACAATGTGTTGCAGGTAAACGCAGAATTCACCCGCATCACCACCGTTCCGCTGCTGCCTACCTTCATGTCTCAACTGGATCGCCATTCGTCTCAGTTGATGAAGGTTTTCAAAAAGAAGGGGGGAACAGCAGGACGCAATTTGGGCCTGATCATGGCAGCCATGGACAAGGTATGTAGTTGTAATAAATTGTGTAGTTTGGGCACTGCAACACCATATTCTCTTTATCTCTCTCTCTTGTTGTCCCTCTCATATAAATATATTTTAACCTCTCTGACCCCCTTTCTTTGACTTGCCAAAAATCAGCACACAAGCATAATCAGTATTCTTGTGTGAAGATTTTGAAAATGTGTTTGCCCCTCAGGATCCCACAGTTCAAACACGACGGGACTGGGCCCTTAAAGCGCTCTGCGTCTACATGAATGAAAGTTCCGAAAGCTTCATAAAGGAATATTTGGTAAGTTGAAAACATAGCCAAACACAGATATATATATATATATATATATATATATACATACACCTGAACATCAGCAGGAGAGGACTCTTTAAAGTAGAGACACTCCATACTGATATACACCTGAACATGAGCAGGAGAGGACTCTTTAAAGTAGAGACACTACATACTGATATACACCTGAACATCAGCAGGAGAGGACTCTTTAAAGTAGAGACACTACATACTGATATACACCTGAACATCAGCAGGAGAGGACTCTTTAAAGTAGAGACTCTACATACTGATATACACCTGAACATCAGCAGGAGAGGACTCTTTAAAGTAGAGACACTACATACTGATATACACCTGAACATCAGCAGGAGAGGACTCTTTAAAGTAGAGACACTACATACTGATATACACCTGAACATCAGCAGGAGAGGACTCTTTAAAGTAGAGACACTCCATACTGATATACACCTGAACATGAGCAGGAGAGGACTCTTTAAAGTAGAGACACTACATACTGATATACACCTGAACATCAGCAGGAGAGGACTCTTTAAAGTAGAGACACTACATACTGATATACACCTGAACATCAGCAGGAGAGGACTCTTTAAAGTAGAGACACTACATACTGATATACACCTGAACATCAGCAGGGGAGGACTCTTTAAAGTAGAGACACTACATACTGATATACACCTGAACATCAGCAGGAGAGGACTCTTTAAAGTAGAGACACTACATACTGATATACACCTGAACATTTGCATAATATGTCCTCTTTAAATTAAAAGCAAAAATAACTACTTAAATAATTGAATTTGTTTTTTATTCAAAGTATTTGCTGCTACTTTGGTTATTGTTCATGTACATTTACAACTACATGTATTAATTTACAATGGATCCAATAAAAGGATTTGCTCATTTGTTTCATATTATAAAATGATGTGTGTCAGGGCTAGTTCTCATACTGATAATCATGAATACTATGTTCTAATCCCACTTTAGGATGTTGAACTTGCAACAACACAAATGGAGCCAATGGTATTGGGACTCTATCTCGTGAAACACGAAGGAGCAGAGCCCGGGGAACCACTTGCGGATGTTGGCGTCATCATCGAGGGTGTTGGAGTGCTGCGAGAGCTGAAATACTTGGCAAATGGATGGGCAGTACTGCTTGGACTGATTTACAGCCTCAATCTGAGCTACCGCAAGGACCTGAAACATACATTTGAATTCATTCAAAAAGTATTGATGGGGTTGGATGGCAACAGACTGTCAACCAAGGTGCAGGTTCTGAAAAACAGATTACAAGAGTAATCCCAAAGACAAAATACTGTGACAGAGATAACGTCCAGTTCATTTCCATCTCGGTACATTCTCTCACACACACACACACACCACACACCCCACACACCACGCACACAACCCGCACCACACAACCCACACACCACACAGACACACACACACACACACACACAGAGACACCACAAACACAGAGAGACACCACAAACACAGAGACACACCACACACACAGACACACACCACACACACACACACCACACACACAGACACATACAGACACTCACAATTATATTTCTGCTTTTGAAAGTTCAAGACATATGTTCATGTGTATAACAGAGGCAAAGATCTACTGTAACACATTATGTGCTTGAGCAATATTATGTGATGCGTTTCATCTAAGTGTTTGGAAAGACATAAAAACACCATACTTCATAGTAAAGTTGCATTTTATAAAATGTTCAGATAATAAGTCATTGTTGTAGCTTTTCAGCCCACATGTTAACTTCTTGAGTCACTCGTGTTTCTCATCACTGTCAAATTCAGCAGCTGTCATGGGTTTTTTACGCAAAGAGCTTTAAAATTCTAATATGTGCACCTACCACAAATGGGCTGTTGGAGTTAAGTGTTTTTTTGTTGTTGAATTGTTGTGGCAATTCAGATGGTTGTTTGCAAAATGCAATGTTATAAGTGTAAAATGAACATTTTAAAATAAAGTGAGGGGAATACAAATTACTGAGTTGTAGTCATTTGAATTACTTATATTGATAGAGCAATTTGGATTAAATTATGTTAAGTGCAAATAACACAATCCTACAACATAAATGGAACTAATTTGTGTTAAGTAATTACAACCTAACTGTGTTAGGTAAATAAGTGCAAACTTTAAGTAAATACAACATAATTGTGTTAAGTAAAAACAACAATTTAAGTAAATTCAACATAACTGTGTTAAGCAAATACAACATAACTGTATGATGTAGCATTTAATTAAGATGCTTTGGTAAGATTTACTTAAATGCAAGAAGTAAATATTAGTTTACTAGTCTGTTTTCTATTTACTTAGCCTTGTTACGTGCAGCCGGTTGACATAACTAGATTAAGTAAATCTAACATATCATTTCTTTGAGTGTATATATTGAGAACCTTTAGATGTTTTACTGTTATTTATTTTCTGTCAATTGTTTCATGAGATAAAAAAGTGTATTCGCTGGTCAGCCTGGCGTGCTGCTCTGTTTGCCGTACAGGTCGTACTCCCGGTACAGGATGTAGTCCTTCAGGCGCTCCGGCACCGGCAGGAAGCTCATGAAGACCGGCGACCGGAGGCGAAGGCGCCCGAGACAACTACGCACCTGCAGCCGGCAGAGGTGCTGCAGACAGCGGGCGCTTTCTGGAGAGGAAGAGGAGTAGAAGGAGAGCATTGAGAAATATTAATGAAGATTGTTTTATTCTTGTTTGCAGGGAGTAATGACGTTTTATTCAGTCAAATATGGTGTTTGCCAAACAGGTTTTCACATACAAGGACTGCTTTGGTGTAATAAATATAAATATGAAATATATATTGAAAATAAATATTACTACAACTATTCTAAAATGAAATAATAGAAAATATAAATGGAAAAGGAAATAAATATTGATAAAGCAGAAACAAAGCAAGTTGTGTACAGGAAATAAATAAATATTGAAAAAATGAACACAAAAAAAGAGCAATTATTGAAAGAAATTATAAATATTTTTAATTTGTATAAAAATGATGATAAAATAAAATAATCTGTACAGGTAACAAACATTGGGTGTATTGGTGCGTATACATAGACAGTTAACCAGTTGAGCCCCAAGCCTGTTTTTCAGGTCTCAGGCTCGAAATGACATTCCCAGAACAAATGACTATATATTCACTTCTAAAAGGGGTACATTAATAATATTTTTTCTCAAAGCAAGGTTACATCTGTGAGTTGGATGTAGAAAAGTCAGAATCAATATAGAATTGTTTTATTTTAAAGTAAATTCAGATTGAACATAGTCAAAACATGTACATTTGTGTCCGTCCAAAAAAGAAACATGACTTATAGTGAGAACCACCCTTGGATGATGGGTTAGTAGACTAAAAGCTTTAGGAATCCAAACTATTACATATAATAAGTACCCTGTATCAAGATTGATGCAAAACAAGTGACATTTGACCTTTTTAGAGAGGTTTAGCAAAATAAAACCACCTTTGGGATCATTTGGGTGTATTTGCCATATCTCTGGCCCCCCTCGGTCGATTTTGATGATTGACACTTTTTAACCGTTAGAGCCAATAGAATCGAGGGGAAGTTCCTAAATCCATCTAAACATTACCATTGAGGAGTGAGAGGGATGCGCACGCAGTTTGCCCAAACCGAAAGCTACGTTACACTCTGAAAACTGAAAACTAGGCTTATTGCCATAAATATGATGATGGATTATCAGTAATCATTTCAAAGTGACACAGAGACATTGGATTAACCTTCAGCAGCGTTTTTATCGTTTTAATGCCATTGAACACAATTTAAGACGTATTTGCCATTTTGGCCCCGTAAAGCTAAGTTGTGTGTTGTCTGGGTTTGCCTTCGCTGCCCTGAGTTTTGGTCGCACAGTGATGATACTTATACTTCTAGAATCTGTGGAATCTCAGCTTTAATCTGATATCTTGTTTGTGCAGATCCGATAAGTAATAAAACATTTCTACCGTGAGTTCTGTGCTAATTCAGAGGCTTGGTATTACCCTTGTGTTTCGTTTCGGTAAAAATGGTTCATATCGTTAGTTAGCTGAGTTTCTTCCCGTTAAGTGGGTGTGACACATTAATAGGTTGTTAAATGTTAAGAAGCCCTGAGACTAGGGATGCATACCGGTTCCCGGTATTACCGAAATACCGGTTACTGGTGGCTACGGTATACCGTACCAAAATCAGATCCGGTTTTCGATACTTTTTTTTTTTTTTTTTTTTTTTTTTTTTTTTTTATTTATTTATTTTTTATAAAAGTGAGGCATAATATCCTTAAACTTGTGCCCAAACCGTCAGAATTACGATGTCAATTTCGCAGTGAAACTCCGCAACCAAGTCACTTTTGAAAATCTAAAGTGTGGCTGCATATGACTGCCAGTCTGAATGGTGGGGTCTGTAACCACTGCCAGTCTGAATGGTGGGGTCTGTAACCACTGCAAGAAGTTTATTTCTGGGAAAGGTGGCAACACATCCAATCTCCAACCAATGCTGTCTCGTATGGCAACCAAGTACCTTTGTGTTCAGGGAAGCAGCGTGCCAAGCGAGAGAGTGTTCAGTTTAGCAGGTGATATCCTACGCTGCGAAAGGGCCCGTTTGGATCCAGAGAGAGCAGATATGCTCATCTTCTTGAAGATGAATGCACAAAACTGAACTGTGATGGGATTTGTTTTCTTTCATCAGGCAAATGTTGATTTCAAGGATGCTATTTGTTTTATGTGCAATGCCGAGATCTCATGATCCTTTATGTGTTCTCTGGTCAGTCAAATCTCAGGTTGAATATTAATTACACTGGTGCTATTTTATTTTTCCATTGACAAGATGTACTATTCCCACCTGATGGTTGTTATAAATGATATTGCAGAATCAGTTTTCTTCATAGATAACGTGTTTTTCATTGTTTGTTCAGTACTAAAAGATCCAAGTCCCACAATTGAATTTAATATTCATTTGACATGTTAACTATATAATAAAGCGCTTCATGGGAGTAATTGCGGGATGATAAAATGTTTCCCTTATGCAACATGAAAGTATCACGATATGTATCGGTTGAGTATCGGTATCGTTCAGTGGTATCGGTATCGGTATCGGTATCGTAAAAAAGTCAACGATATGCATCCCTACCTGAGACACAGTTTCGTGAATAAAAAGCCTGTAGCCGCTTAACAGGTTAAACAGCTGTGTTTAGGTGCCTAACAAGCATTATTATTATTCAGCCTCTTTGTAAACGTGCACCTGATTTACCTTTGTGCACCTATTTATTTCCCAAATGGTGTTTTGTGGATGATATTTTGAAGTTATTTTAAGCAATGTGCTGTAATAAATGGGTGTTGATTTTGTTTTTGATATTCCTTTGTGCTCTGTGTGAAGCAAATTCACCTAGGGACAGTATTTGAGTTTACCTTGCAGCCTGCAGATGTCCGGCCACTGCTGCTGCTCCATCACTGCTGCCTTCAGCTTGGAGCACAAGGTCACATGATCCAGGTAATCCAACAGGACGAGCACCACCTGACCTGAGAGGTGCTTCAGCCAGGAGACGGTGATCACCTCGCAGAACTGAAACAAGAAGAGTTTTACACGTCGGTTTACGTCTGAATGAGCTTCAGCCACTTTAGACGATCCTTTACACTTTAGAAAGGAATTAAGATTGAAAGAGTAGACAGACAGATCCAGTATGCAACTTAAAGTTGGTGTAGGCAGGACATTTTTCTCTTTTTAAAGTTTTCATCTTTCTAAACTCTCGATGGTCAAGATTAGATTGGCATCCCAATCTGTATTTGATCTGTATCTATTCTCTGTACTAGGGAATTTTGGGTTGATTTTGAAGATTTAGGGGCCTCTCGATCATTTTGGTTGGAAAGTTTGCCGGAGCTCCGGAGAGCTTTTAACGGTGCAAAGAGACACTACAAAGAGAAAGAAGAGTCTGACTTCAGAGGCTCTGACGCCCGGAACATGTTGGCGGGACTAAAGACAATAACTGACTACAAAGGGGCAGCGGGTGGTGCTGGAGGATTGTCTGTGTGTGCGTCTCTCCCAGATGAGCTGAACGCTTTTAATGCATGTTTTGATAGCAGCCAGGCTGTGAGCGGGCAGAAGGCCCAGGATCCATCCAACATCACATCCTCCACCCTGATCCTCAACACCGGTGACCCTCAGGGCTGCGTGCTCAGCCCTCTCCTCTACTCCCTGTTCACACACGACTGCATGGCCACACACAGCTCCAACACCATCGTGAAGTTTGCTGACAACACGACCGTCATCGGCCAGATCACAGACGGCGACGAGACGGCGTACAGAGAGGAGGTCGAAAACCTGACATCTTGGTGCCAGGATAACAACCTCCATCTCACCGTCAGCAAAACAAAGGAGCTGATTGTGGATTACAGGAAGCAGCAGGGAGAGGGACACGCCCCCATCGCCATCAATGGGACTACTCTGGAGAGAGTCAGCAGCTTCAGGTTCCTCGGTGTCCACATCACCGAGGACCTGACATGGACTCTTCACACTACCACCATCACCAAATCAGCTCGACAGCGGCTCTTCTTCCTCCGCAGGCTGAGGAGGTTCAAAATGGACTCCAGGATACTCTGCAACTTCTACAGGTGCACCATAGAGTGGATCCTGACCTTCTACAGGTGCACCATAGAGAGTATCCTGACCTTCTACAGGTGCACCGTAGAGAGGATCCTGACCTTCTACAGGTGCAGCATAGAGAGTATCCTGACCTTCTACAGGTGCACCATAGAGAGGATCCTGACCTTCTACAGGTGCACCATAGAGAGTATCCTGACCTTCTACAGGTGCACCATAGAGAGGATCCTGACCTTCTACAGGTGCACCATAGAGAGTATCCTGACCTTCTACAGGTGCACCATAGAGAGTATCCTGACCTTCTACAGGTGCACCATAGAGTGGATCCTGACCTTCTACAGGTGCACCATAGAGAGTATCCTGACCTTCTACAGGTGCACCGTAGAGAGGATCCTGACCTTCTACAGGTGCACCATAGAGAGGATCCTGACCTTCTACACGTGCAGCATAGAGAGTATCCTGACCTTCTACAGGTGCACCATAGAGAGGATCCTGACCTTCTACAGGTGCACCGTAGAGAGGATCCTGACCTTCTACAGGTGCACCGTAGAGAGTATCCTGACCTTCTACAGGTGCACCATAGAGAGGATCCTGACCTTCTACAGGTGCACCATAGAGAGTATCCTGACCTTCTACAGGTGCACCATAGAGTGGATCCTGACCTTCTACAGGTGCACCATAGAGAGCATCCTGACCTACAGGTGCACCATAGAGAGGATCCTGACCTTCTACAGGTGCACCATAGAGAGGATACTGACCTTCTACAGGTGCACCATAGAGAGGATACTGACCTTCTACAGGTGCACCATAGAGAGCATCCTGACTGGCTACATCACGGCCTGGTACGGCAGCTGCACCGCCCTCAACCGTAAGACTCTACAGAGGGGGGTGAAAACTGCACAGCACATCACCAGGACGGAGCTGCCATCCATAGAGGATCTTTACTCCCAGCGGCTCAGGAAGAAGGCCCTCAGGATTATAAAAGACCCCCATCACCCCAGCCACAAACTGTTCTGTCTGCTGCCGTCTGGCAGGCAGTACCGCAGCATCAGGACTAAAACCACCAGACTCAGAGACAGTTTCATCCCACAGGCCATAGGACTATTTAACGCCTGAGCTTGCACTATTTGAATTTTTTGGACTATTTTAATCTTTATAAAAATGTGATTCCTGTTATTGCACTGTTGAGGAACCTGTGACCTAAGTTTTTCATTCATTGCATAACTACACTGTAGTTATGCATATGATATGACAATACACTTTTGAATCTTGAATCTTGAAAATGTAAACCTTTATTAGTCGTTAAATGTATATGATTGACCTCTGTCTAGCTTTGTGTTTAGTTGTTTACATCGAGAGCAATTGAAAACCAAATTCCTTGACATTGATATTGGTGCAGGTGGTTAAAGATAGTTAAAGCCGCACCAATCAGTATTATTATTTTAACAAAGAACTGTTAGTCTGTAAGTAACAACAAGGCCGGGGACCCTCACGGACACCACTCAAATCTCTTCCCATAGACACACATGCAAAAACACACATTTCATTTTGGATGTAATGTTCTTCGTTTTTCACAGTAACCAGCCGTTTTCTTATTATATTTTTCTTTTTTTATATATTTATGTTTCTTATACACATTTATTTTAATTATAATTTGTATTGTATTTTTCTCTTTATTTTAATGTATCTGCTTGTGTTGATGTATTCACCATTATTCACTAATTGCCAAATCTGTTAGTTCCTAGTAATGTCGATGCTGCGTATGACAGACAGTCATGATAAAGTCCGTCACCATGGTATCTTTGATAACAGTGTCAGTCCATCCCTTGTAGTCATCAGGGATGTGGGAGCTGTTACCATAGGGACAGTCAAAGCAGCGCGCTACATCATAACCGTAGTTACACAGCATCCTGAGCACCACCTGACACACAAAACAGCAACATGTGTGAACTTACATTTTATAAAATATTTGACTAAAAATCAACACTGAAAAAACTGAATTGTGACTTTAATTAAATGATTATGTCAATAATGTCTTCATAACTGTATCAGGTGAGTCGAAAGCAATACTTTTAAGTTGAAATACTAAATATTAGATTCAACGTTATAGTATTGCTTTCAACTTACCTAATACAGTTATGTGAAATGTATTGATATAATACATTTAATTAAAGTCAATATTTAAGTTTTGTAAGTGTAGGAGTGACAGATTACCTCGTCTTTGAGGGCATACTGCAGCGCTGAGGGGAAGTGAGTTGTGTTTACTTTGCAGTAATAGTTGACGTTGGCTCCATACCTCAGCAACAGGTTGATCAACTCATAGTTGCCCACGCGCAACGAAATCTTAAAGACAAAACAGTCCCACTGACACATCAACCAACATTGGCATCACTGGTGGGACAACTTTTTGACGAACAACATTATATTAATCCCCAATACTGTGCATCGAATCCGGTTGTAGCTTTGGGTGCCAGATATGATCATTACAATGGCACCAAACCTGGCAACCTCACTGTGAATACAAGACTTACAAAAGTTTCAGTATGTAAAAAACCCATTAAAGCTGTTCTGTTTGTGTGCATATTAAACTATCTTGATATGATTCAGTGCTGCGAGAATGAGTCCTAAAATCAGGAATTAGTTAGCATTTTAGCACTTCATGTTATTTTGGTTAGATGCCTGAAAAACGATCTCTAGGAAGCTTTGTAGGTGTCTTAAAAAAGGGAGGTTGCTTGCAAGTTGCTAAATGCGACTTCGGAGGTTATTTAAACGTCATTACGTGGAACACGGAAAATCATTTACTCTCTATTTTACCTTCACAGGTAACGTTTATTTTGTTAAAGTTGTAAACAAGCAACAATTAAATGATATGTTGGAAGCTTAGTGGCATAGAAGTGAAGTGTAGTTTAATTATAGCCTCACATTAACGTTTAACTTCTGGCAATTGCATTTACACTTTAACAATCAATAAACAGGTGTTAATATGTTGAGATTTTCCTACTGGGCAAAAAAAAAAATTCATCCCTGGACAAACACAGACAGACAGACAGACAGACAGACAGACAGGTTGACACACACACACACACACACACACACACACACACACACACACACACACACACACACACACACACACACACACACACACACACACACACACACACACACACACACACACACACACACACACACACACACACACACACACACACACACACACACACACACACACACACACACACTACCTGCAGACATTTGATTGGGTCTTGGTTGGCCATGGCGCCGGCCTCCAGCAGCAGTTTGGCTGACGGCACGTCATTATTCAAGACCGTGAAGAAAAGTGCTGACTTCCTCCCGTCGTCATAGCTACGCTGAGCCCAGGGATGGAGCATGTCGTTGGGGTCAAACCCCGCATCCAGCAAGGCCTGATGGGAGGTTGCGAGGAACAGCAATACAGGTGTATGTAAAACACTACAGTTTACTAGTAAGCCATTTTATTCAAGTCATATTTCAACACCATACCCATGAGCACACACACAGACACACACAGACACACACAGACACACAGACACACACACACACACACACACACACACACACACACACACACACACACACACACACACACACACACAAACCTTGATGCATAGTGCATGTCCTCCTGCAGCAGCAGAGTGTAGAGGATTTATCCCGCTGTCGTCGACTTCCCCCTTAGAAGTGACTGGAATCAGCAGATTTAAAACCCTGAGACACAGACACACACACACACACACACACACACACACACACACACACACACACACACTAACATTTAATTTATCAGATGTTAGAGGTTTTACATACTTGCAGAAAAACCGGACAACATGTCCTCTTGTAATATGATGGAGTAACATTTACTGCAGGTGTCCTCTGTGTGCGGCGTGGTGGATCGGCATGTGTCCCATGTTTTTGGCCACGTTGGCGTCAGCGCCGTACTCCAGCAGCAGACTGATGACCGCCGGGTCTCCAGAAGCAGACGCCTCATACAGGATGGAGGCCTCGTCCTGCGCCTGGGACAGGACATCCGCCCCTGCAGGGCAGAAATCAGAAGGGAATTAAGCACAAAAAATGAAAGATAATTTGGAAAATACCTACTTCATCTATGTCCACCTCAAAATCAAATCAACTGCATTCACACATACAATACAATATACGATATTGTATGTGTATTGTATTGTATTGTATTGTATTGTAATATAAGATACGATACAATATATACTGTATCGAAGAAGAAGTCGCTATATGAAAACTAAATATGATTTCAAATAGCATTAGAATATTAAATATATATAATTAATACAATTACACAACATTTGTGTCATACTGATATTTTACATTTCGGATTTCAGGACTGTTTAATTTGTTATGTTGTTGCTTTGTTGTGTTTTCTTTGTCTTTTATCCTTTGAACATGTGGGAAATAAGTGTTTAGTGTAGCATGTTACACTTTGGACACTTATGTTTCTTTGCCTGATAATCCATAAATAAAATCAATGAATAAATCAATCAATCAAAATTGCTCAAACTCTAATCTGGATATTGGAAGTTTGAAACATTTTGTATTCAAATACATATGAATATAGAATGATGCTGCTCCCTCACCTCTCCTCAGCAGATTCTCCATCACCTCCAGGTGTGCGTTCTGAGCGGCCAGAGCCAGTGGAGTGAGCCCGTAGTGGCTGCGGGGGTCCGGCCTCGCCCCCGCCTCCAGCAGCCGGGTCACCAGCTCCACGTTACCCAGCCGAGAGGCCTCGTGGAGCGGGCAGCGGCCGTGCAGACCCTCCTTGTCCACGCTGGAGCCCTGAAGGAGCAGCAGCTGCACCAGGTCAGCACGGCCCGAGCGGATCGCTGCACAAAGACACCGCTGATTTATGTGTGTTTTATTTTTTCAATGAGCTTAAATAACATGTGTTTTGTATCCTCCTTATGAAAGTAATTAAGTACATTTACAACAAGTACTGTACAATTGCACACATTTCAGGTACTGTTAGCTTTATTTCAGTATTTTGTCTTCATGCTACTTTCTACTCCACTATAATTAAGATGAAAGTATCTTATCTTTTTTCATTTCATTTCATTATTTTCATTATATTTATTTGACAGTAATAGTTACTTCATGAGGTTTAGTGACATAAAAGAAAAACAAATAATTATTCAATCATTTTGACTGACAGATAACTAATTGAGAACTATTTGGATCTATTCAGTCTATTTTCATTCCAGTTTCTCTTTTAATTATTTTAACTCTTTTATTTATGATTTTAAGTTAACGAATCACAAGCAATTATTTATTTCATTATATTTAAACTCTGTGGATTTTGGGTATTTACAATATTTGGCTACACAGTTGGCGAATGTGAAGTTTCTTGCAATTTAAAATTAACAAAAGTATTGAGAAATACTGTAGCATATACACATTTCATTTAAAACATTTCGTTCAAATGTTAAAAATGTGTTTCTGTTGCACAATTTGAATTATCTTTATATCTTAGGTATACTGTAGGATTATTGTTGGAGGAGCCTGGGGTTTTACATTTTCATTGTGTAGAAGTTATAACAATAAAGCCTTTGAATGTTTAACAGTTGTTGCGGTCAGCCTACCTACGAGCAGCGGGGAGTCCAGGTCACAGTCCTGAATGTCCGGCTTGGCTCCGTGTTGGAGGAGGAAGGAGGCGTTTTCTATCAGACCTCCCTCTGCTGCCAGGAGCAGAGGAGTCTGTCCCCGCAGAGTGCGACTGTCCACAGAGCCTGAAACTGCAGGACAGGGTGCTCTGATGAACCTTTGTTTCATTATCAGGGTTTTATGTTATCGTGAACCAAATATAAAAACCTTTGAATGTGAGCTCCAGGATGTTTTGGTTCCTCTGAGCGGCAGCTTCGTGGAGAGGAGTCCATCCTCGGCTGTCTGTCTGTGAAAACCTGTCTCTCTGCCGGACACTGAGACCCTTCAAGAGCTTCTCGTTACCTGAAGGGATAGTGACAGGAAATAGATAATCTTCTGTCCCTTTTTCAATACCTATATTTAAACTGTGGGGGAAACTTCTGAAGTGATTGATTAACAACTCAGAACATATCAAGGCTGCTTTTTATGAGATTCTGCAACAAACAACACAGTTAATTAAATCTACATTTATGATATTATTGTTAAATACTGCTGATTGACATTCATTGTTGTAATATATACTATATTTGGACATAGAGGCTAGTGTGCAAGCTATGTATTCACTTTTTATTGTCTGCTCACCTTTAGATCAACACCTGCCATTAGTACATGGAATAATAATTCCTATTGTTCACTCTTATTCAAGCCTCACCTTGTCTTATAGCAGTGAAGATCGCGCTGCTGTCAGCGGACTCAGGCTCAGAGCTGCAAAAAGAAAATCGCTGACTAATTTCAATAATCAAGGTTTTGTGAAACTGAACAGGAAAAGTCTTCTGATCTGATTCTACTGACAAAATAGGTACAAAAAGTCAAATAAGTCAGGGACACTCAGTTTAAAGTATCAAATCTGATGAGCCCTGAGGCTGCAAGTCAAAAACAAAAATGAATGCATCAATACAAATAATAGTGTTGTTAAATTAATAAAATGTGATCCAAACTAATGCTTTTCTATACGAATACCTTCCAGTAGGACTTGAAAGGGGCCTATTGTGTTTTCGGGGGGTTCTCCCTTTCCTGTAGTGTTCTATAGGTTTTTGTGCATGTAAATGGTCTGCAAAGGCTAACATCCCTGTGTTCCCCCCAGAGGGAGTTTCTCTCCCACACACTCCCCCTGCCTGAAACTTACCAGGTAACACTTGCACTTCTAGTGCTCCAACACATTGTACATGATAGGCTAAGGGGCGGGACATATAGCGTTTGACCAACCTCAACAGAGTCGGTCAGCTAACAAATCAGAGCAGACTGGGCTCTGGTTTCAGACAGAGGGTGAAAAGAGGTGCTGCAGCACAGGCAGTATGAGAAAAATAAAGAGCTTTTTGAACATTAAAGGGCCCATGTCATGCTTTTCCGGTTATTACCCGTCCCCTTGTGTGTTATGAAGGTTTTTATGCATGTAAACGGTGTGCAGAGTCAAAACCCTCAAAGTACACCCTGTAGCGAGTACAACTCTAACACAGAAAATACCTCCCCAAAACGCCTCGTTGGAGATACGTCACTGCCCATTTGAGTCTTCCATTTAGTTCCGGGTACGGCATGATGTCATGCAATACCCGGAACGAAATGGACCAATCCCGAAGAGCTATGGCCACACCCAGCGGCGCTGGCCGCACCCTCTGCCAGCCTAACATTTACTGTTGGAAGCTCTGGTTCAGTTCACAATCGATCCAGTCATGCCAATGCCAAGGACCTGTTTCCTGAAATGTGAGGAGAAATCTGAGCTGTTTGTCCTACCGACGGAAGAACCACGACGAAGTCAGTGGTTGAAATTTCTGTTTAACACTGTTCCTTCAGAGGTTCGAAGAACGTTACTGTGTGCGCGGCATTTCACAGACGAAAGCTTCCAAAACATTGCCCAGTTTGAGGCCGGATATGCACAGCATTTGAAACTGAAGGACGATGCTATTCCTAGTTTGTTTGGACCGTTTGGAGCAGGGGAAGATTCGGGTACACAACCTGTAAGTTTGCATTGTTATTTGTGTATTTATCAAACAAGACTGTTTAAATGTGTAAACGTGTGTCGGACTGCTAAGCCATTGACACAGTGCTAACTGTGCTAACTAAGTTGCTAGCGTTTCCATATATCAACTCTAATATCAGCAGATGGCCTTGCATACATGTATCTCATAGCAGGAGAATGTCTGCATTCACACACAAAATACTCATAGACAGTATACTCCGGGTCAGTCGCGAAACGTAATTACATTATAGCTGGCGTAGCGTGTATGCTACCGAGCTAACCAACGGAGCTAGACATGGGTTTGCTCGGGAAAACATTTGTGTTATGCCAGCTACAATGAATGTAGCAGACTACCCGTATAAGATTGCAATTGTGAACACGTTCTTGCTAGCCTAATATGAATCACTAGCTTTTGTTCATAGTGGTTTTATTACACTAAACAAGCCCAGCTTACTGGGCTAACGACATTGCTAGCGTTTAAATATATCAACTACAATGTCAGCAGATGGCCTTACATGTTTGTCATGGCAGGAGAATGTCTGCAGTCACACACGGAATACTCATACAGTATACTCCGGGTGATTTACCGTACATTGTGACAGTACATGTACATACTGCATGTATAGCTAACGAGGCTAGCTATACATGCTAGCGGAAAACAATGTATTCATGCCAGTTACAATGAATGACCGAACGTAGCAGACTACCCGTATAAGATTGCAATTATAAACACGTTATTGCTAGCCTAATATGAACCACTAGCTTTTGTTCATAGTAGTTTTATTACACTACATTATAGTTGCCGTTCCTCCGAGCTAGCGTTCATACCGTGTTTGCTACCAAGGTAAACAAGAAAGCTAGGTTAGCATATTAGCTGGCAAGCTTACTGTGTTGATTATATAGATGGATTAGATAGATCCACACTCCTACCACAACTACTACTAACGAATCTAAAACAACTAAGTTTCTCTAATATTTTGTGATTTGCATTTGATTTCGTCCAGCCAGATCCTGCCGGACAATACATGACGGGGACGGGACTACCACACTGACGCCTCGTCCTAAAAAAAAGGCAAGATGCCGACAACGGGGAGGAATGGATGATATACCGTGTATATATGTATATTTATGTTCATTTTGTACATTTCTAAAAATAAAGTTTGATGGAAATACTTAGTAGGCCTATCCTTTCTTCCCTGAATTATTTGCTCCTATAACTTATCATTCATATATAGCAAACCATGATTTGATTTCTCATCAAACAGTAGTAGTTTATTACAGGTAAAAATAACTTACTCTTCTATAACAACAGTTGTAGGTACAGTTCGGTTAGTTAGCGTATAAAATATACGGCTGTACCGACGCCCTTATAAGACTGATGTTCCGCTCAGATCGAGCCGAAAAAAGCACTGTCAGACATGGGCGGAGCCTCTCTGGTGGTTGACTAATCAGAACAGAGTGGCCGAGCTGACCAATCGGAGCACACTAGGCTCACAGGGAGGGGGGGGGCAAGAGCTCCAACGAGCCGTTTAGTGGAGAGAGTGAATAATGCTGAATACACATACTTTACAGAGATGCTGTATGCGAAACCAATGTGAGTTTGGAAAATTGCACAGTATAAATCTATTTTAGTATACCTCAACAATGGAATTATGATCAGTGGAAATGGCCATGACATGGGTCCTTTAAAGCATGGAGACATGTCACAGTAGAGGCACTACATACAAATATGAACTTGAAGATGAGCAGAATATAGGGCATCTTTAAGGAATTCTTAAATACCTCAATTTTTATTTCCCCTTGAAATCTTTTCCCCTTCACACATTTCTTCCCATGTTTCATGTTTAATAAAAACAACTACCGTACTTTCCCTAGCTCCCTCTTTTCTTTTAGACCTTTAAATACATTTTGTTGAGTGAAAAACGTATTTACTCACACTAGTGGATACAGTATATAGTGTTGGAGGGCTGTATACAGTAACAGAGGACTGAGCAGAACTTCTATCATGCAGGAGGAATTTCACAAAATAAAACCAAGCCTCAGAGAAATATTTGTGAGCTTTATTTGTTTTGAACTGACCTTTTGCTGTCTGGTGTTGTGGAACCTCGTTGTGTTTCCTTCTGTTTGGTGCTCTCCAGCAGACTTTGTTCAATCATGTACTGAGTCGCTGCATCTTCATCATCTTCATCATCCTCATATCTTACATACTCCATAACGACCACAAAAAGGCTCCTTGCCCTTTTCAAAAAAGGAGCATTTTGTTAATATTTCACTGATCATACTTTGCCAATTAAAGTGATTCTGATTCTGAGATGTAAGTGCCAGGTTGGATGAAAACTACTACTTAAATGTGTTATTTGAAAAATGTTAAACTAGTCCCTGGAAAGCCAAATCAGTGCACAACTTAAAAAGCATGTTAAATGTGGTTTGCTCAGGTGTGCTTATGGTCTAAATATCCCTTGTTTAACTCCAACTGTGTAACTTTAATGGATGTTTTCCATCTTCAATTTTGTGAATGTACTGTATATTCTGCATACCTCATCTCAATGTTTATATTGTCCAGTCTAGTGTACTTTTGGTATGTCTGTAATTATATAATGTAGCACTAATCTTACCAAATGTTAAGCAAACTGTAGTTGCAATTCACAAATACTGTACAGATTAGTAACCAGATGGACTACTGGGATGTCTGTTTGTCTATATGACAGTCCCTTAAGCACTGACCATAGCCTGTATATACTGTATATATAAGACACTGAGGATCGTCTCTGGGTGTCTTTACCTTTTGGTTTGCTGTTGGGTCGTTGTTTTGGTTCCCTCTAATCGTCTGTGGACTTCCTGCAGTTTTTTCAAAAATAATCTGATGTTGTTGAGGACGGAGGAGGAGTGAGTGAAATAAGAGCTGTGTGTATGCACACGTCCTGTTAATGAATCCAAGTTCAACACTGAGATTAAAGAATGGAGAGCTGTGGTTCAAACACAGATGAATGCACCTGTATCAAAATATATATATATAAAATATAACAATTATTCTGCAGGGAAATAAGTAAATTCATTACCTTTAGACCTCTTTATTTCAGCTGTTTAGCTGCAGCACTCTGCCTGAGGGGGTCAGAGAGATCTGATACCTCTTACTATATTTACCTCCTGCAGATAGTTTTATGCAGTGAGCTGACCAGCAGACACTCAGTGACACCACGCTATGGCTGCATTTAACTGTGCAGTGAATTCATCTTTCATATGCCTTTAAGAAAAACAGCACAGGCAAAAGAAAGATTTTCATGCACTGGTCTTTTTTGTTATTTAGCTTCCATGACATGTCTTCTTTCAGACTTGAGGAAATAAAGCTTTCAAAAAACATTAGGCAATTAATTATTTGATAATGTCTCATTTAGATATTCAAACATGACATTTGAGAAATGTGTAATGCTTAATATAATGTATTGTCTAAATGCAAATACTAACAGGGGATGTTTCATGGTGATATCAGAACAAAAAAGATGACAATTCCACTGTAGTGTCCTACGAACAGAACGCATCAGTAGGGCTGCAAATACAGACTGACACAAGTCTTCTGCCAACCATTTTTCAGATGATTGGTTTCGTCGTTAAAATGCCCCAACTTTTAGGAAAATTCTATTCTATACTGCCTTTTTGGTAGGTGATTTATCAAATGTATTCTCTTCACTAAAGATTGGACCAAATAAAATGTTGCGTTTGTTTGAAAACATACAAATTCATTGCAGATGATACATGTGTAGCTAATGTAAGTGTATTAAATATTTGTTTTAAAATACATTTTTGCACAGAGCTCCTACAAAGAAAGCCGAGACGTGTTGCGCGGTGTCAGTGGTTTGACCAGCAGCCCTTCTCTCGCACTCTTACCATTTGTGTATAAATGCTTGGAAGAAAACTGCATCGTTTCAATCCATACAAAAACAGCTCCTTTCAGGAGGCCATTATTTTCACCCAACATGTATTGAACATTCAATACTTTATACCAGGATTTTTACCAGAAGTCTAATGCAATTTTAAAAACATTTGTGTACAAGCAAAACCCACACAAAAAAAAATGATGTCCTTCGACATTGTACTAATGTTTAGAAGGAACGCCAGTAAAATGGAGACTCAGTTTTGTTTAGTGTACAGTAAGCTATTTTAATGCAAATATAAAATGTACATATTCAATTTTATTAAATTCACCTTTGCTTTCCTACTGTAACATGTTGAAATGACTGCTATGCAAAGGGTCCATTTTGCAAAAATGTTAGTCAGGGAGGCTGTGGCGCAGTACATTGGTCTTCGGATCAGGGGAGCACAGGTTCAAACCCCACTGCATTCAGCATGTCGTTGTGTCCCTGGGCAAGACACTTCACCCCAAATTGCTCTGGTGGGGATTGCCCACAGTATTGAGTATGTAAGTCGCTTTGGATAAAAGCATCTAACATGTAACAGACAAATGTCCTAATGTCTGCATGACATTAAAACTGTAATCCAAAAAAAAGAAACATGATTTATAGTGAAAACCACCCTTGAATGATGGGATAGTAGACTAAAAGCTTTAGGAATCCAAACTATAACATATAATACCCTGTATCAAGATTGATGCAAAACAAGTGACATTTGACCTTTTTAGAGAGATTTAGGAAGAAGAAAACACCTTTGGGGTCATTTGCCGTGTCACTGGAACCCATTGGTCGATTTTAATGATTGACACGTCTTTTGAACCGTTAGAGCCAATAGAATCGAAGGGGAAGTTCCACATACACACACGCGTTACCATTGAGTGAGTGTGATGCGCACGCTGTCGAAAGCTATGTTACGCTCTGAAAACTGAAACCTAGGCTCAAACTAGTAAATATGAAGATGGATTATCAGTAATCATTTCAAAGTGACAGACACATTGGATTAACCTTCAGCAGCGTTTTTATCGTTTTGATGCCATTGAACACAACTCTTGATCAGAACGGCAAAGGTAAGAATATCTCTGTGTTGTGATGTCTGTGTTTGCTTCTCATGTCGCGAGTTCGGATCGCTCAGTGATGATACTTATATGTCTGGAATCTGTGGAATCTCAGCTTGCTAATCGATTTTGTTTGTGCAGATACGATAAGTAATAAGGGTATTTTAACGTGAGTTCTGTGCTAACTGTGTTAGCATTTTTTTTGCTCAGGGCTAATTCAGAGCCTTTGTTATTACCCTTTTGCTAAAAATGGTTAATATTGTCTGAAAGCTGAGTTTCTTCCCATTAAGTGGGTATGACACAATAGGTTTTTAAATGTTAAGAAGCCCTCAGACACTGTTTCTTGCAAGATGTTGCCCCATGCCCCCGGTACCAGGGGCATGGGGCTTAACTGGTTGAATGACCACACAAAAAATAAATGTCATCGAAAACGTGTTTATTTTATTTTATGCATCTACTGTCTATGACCTGGGTCTCTCCTTCTTGCCTTTGTAGAGAGCCAGCAGGGACACGTTGGCAACCTTGACCACCTTAAAACGAACGCCGGGAATATCACCAACGGCGTGACCTTTACGTCCAAATCCTGCCACCAGAACCTCATCGTTCTCCTGCAGGATCAAAGAAAAGCGAAAGGTCAGTCAAGAAAAATCAGTGCATTCATTTATAGATTTTTAAACAACTTAACATAGGGTTAAATCTAGCTTCAAGTCATTCCAGCACATGCAGTGACTTCACAGAACCAATACATTTTGTAAAGCTGTGATCAAGTTAATTTTTTTTCTGCACAATTATCACAAAAATAAAATGCTTGTTTGGCTGTTTAAAGAAAAAAGATGTTAACAAGGGCTTTACCTCGATAAAGTTGAGGCAACCATCGTTGGGGACGAATGCGGTGATCTTCTTGCCGTTCTTGATGAGCTGAACTCTCACACACTTCCTGATGGCAGAGTTGGGCTGCTTAGCCTCAACACCACTGTAGATGCAAAACAAAAACACTTTAACAAAACTTCAAACTTCCTGGAAGGAACTTCAGACTGCATAGCAAGTTGAATTTCATGATAACAGCTACATGGATTCACTTAAATTCTTGTTTCTTTCTCATTAAAGTTGGTGATGACAGACAAAAACATTAAAAGGACTTGCAGTGTTTTGCAATTAGCCATCACTCCATCTTCAGCCTTTTACATTTAAACATGTCCTATGGTACTCACACTTTCTCAAGCACGATGCCTTTAGCGTGGGAGGCTCCTCCGAAGGGGTTAGCCTTCAGGGCTGTGCCCAGATGGGCCTTCTTGTACTGTTTATCGTGCCATCTCTGCTCACGACGGTGGTTACGGAGCTTTCTGGCTGTGCGCAGACCACGACACTTTCCTGGAAGACAGAGATCAGCATAAATTAAGTTAAGTCTTGTAGTAAACAGTCTTCGCATTCTTCTAAAAAGATGCAATGATACAGCAAAACAACAATTTACATCACTGCTATTAAGACTAACTTCCTTACTGATGACACTAGAAAACCACGAGACTCAGTAGAAAACTCAAGTTTGACTATAGCTGTTCAGGATAAGTGTTAATAAGTGTCTATTAACTTTAGGGAATTGAAATTATTTTCAAGTATTTACACCTGCTACAAGGGATACACATTGTTCTCACACCCAATACCCCTGGACACACCTGTGTATGTGTTGAAGCATATTTAGTTGAAAACGTGGGACATTAGTTGCAAATTAACATCGGTTAACACCACATACAGTGCATCTGGTCTATACACACACGTATTGTGTTCACTTAAAAAATACAACTACCTGAGAGTACTCAACGTCCTTCAGAGACAATATGGATAGATTTATCCCGATGTAAAGCCAATAACACCGACAAAAGACATTCATTTGTCAGTTTAATCAGTAATGTTACTCTGAGGGGACGCCAAATACAGCTAGCTTTAGTGCCACTACATGTTACTGTTAATACATAACAAACAACCGTGCGTACACTCATAAATCTTCGTTGGGCGTTTTATCTTAATATTCACCCCATATTTTGCCTTCATTAAATCGGTAGGCAAACAACATAAAGCTTTACGTTAACGGCTAGCAGCGATTAGCATGAGGCAAACCGGGCTAACAAACACTCAAAAACAGACACTGAATTTACATGTACAAATCATACGTTAGAAGATAACATGTGTGTGTGTTGTGATTTCCATTGGTTTGATTAAATAGTACAATACGTAGAGCGACAACAGTAAACGTGTTAAAAAGGGACGTGTGCTATGCTAAGCTAGCCGTGCTATCACGCCTGCTATGGCCGCTCCACGTTGCGCGGAAAGAGACCCGTAAATCGTTCAGTTTTTTAAGTGACTGAGGGGTTGTTTTTGTCACTAAAACATCGAAAACTGTTTGTAAGATATTCATACAGGACATCGATGTGAAAAATACCAGCAGTGATCAGAATAAATGTGAGTTTAGGATGATGTTTGAGACGTACCCATGATTGCAGAAGCGAGCCTGGGATCGAAAGGAAGGACCCAGCATGCACCGCGCCAATGTCTAGTCTCAGGACCCCGGCAGGGCGTGGCTAAAGAAATGCCTGACTCAAATTATAACTGCTTAATAACCTATGTATGTTAATAACATAGACTCTATGTTATAAAGCAGTTATGATTTGAGTCGAGTGTATCCTTAATAATCTCATCCACAGGTGTAATCTTGAGTGTATGTTTAATAATCTCAAGAAATTCAAGCAATGATTATTAAACATGCAAAGAATCAATAATTGTTTAAAAAATGCAGAACAAATACTAATCCCCACACTGTTGAACTCAGTAATTTATGTATGCTGACAATGTGAATATAAATACATTTGTCAGCTCAGA